ATCTCCGAACTTCGAGAGCTCCCCCTCACTAATTGGTGGGCACAAAGGAAAGGGATGTGCAGCGTGAATAAGGGGCCACCCCAATCTACTGGGTTGGGGACTCCAACCCCCTGCACTTCTATAAGGAAATCCCCTGCCCCCAAGGATTCATTGAAACCTCCCACACTGACTTGGAAAGTTTCTGTTCTCTATCTGGCAATAAACATTGGCAAGACAATAAAGGCCAGGGAGAATAAATCTGGGATTTTCAACAGAGCCCAAAGGATTTAGGCACCTATCATTCCATTCCATTGTGAGATGGGCTTCTAAGTCCCCTAGGCCCTATTGCAAATCCCCCTCTTTCCCCTTCTTCCTCTCTCAACTTACCATTTTCACTTTATACAGTGAAAGGCACTTAACCAAACTCGTTATTTAACAACAGGTTAACGCCTAAGTCCATGAGTGGAGGAGAAAAACCAGACAGCTTAGTTACAGTACATGATTCAGAACGCTTACACCTGGGAGAGCAGAGAAAGGTGTGACTGTAGCAACAAATGAGCTGCATAGTTGCATCTGGTGAACCATGGTGTAGGCGGGATAGCAAAGTCTGGTAACGCCCTGTTTTGAACAAAGCAAAGGTAACTTGAATAACCACTAATAAACATTGTGTGAGAACTTGTCTTGACTTCATTTCAGCAACTCACTCACAGGCTGCAGCAGAAAAGTAGATCTGCCGATGAATTGCATCCCAGGTGGCTATATATTTTTTCTTTCAGTAATGACTTTTAGATGGGGAGGAGGAAGCTGAGATGAAGAATTGGAATGTGTTTGCAGCAAACATCAGTTTTTTCTCTCTGTTACTATAAAGTGTCATAGCCTATTAATTTAATAGGGCGAGACATGGGTGAGAGAAGATGGAGCATTATTTTCAGACACGTTGAGATGTTGTTTTCATGTGTAAATGAATATTACATAAAGTTGTTCGAATGACTAGAATTATGGTAATGTTTGGTTGCTCTGAGCCATATGTAGATCTCATGCTGGTGTAGCTAAGGAGTAAATCCATAACATTAGACCCTGCCCTTTTATAATTTGTTAAATGTTGCTGTATTTGGGTCTCTGCATTGCCTTGGAAGCGTTTTTTTGCATTCCTCCTTCACATCATACTAGAGCAAAATACCCAGTGCTTTTCATGGAAGTTTTGAATGAAAAGCACCCTTAGAAATTACAAAAGACTCAAGTAAGTTGTCTTATTAGAGGTTCCTTTGTTAGCATAAAGGGTCAATGTCAGGTTAATATTTAAAAATAAATATATTTCTTTGTTTTAATAAATAACCCTGGATTCTTTAATAACTGAAAGTATTTTTAAAATCTGATTGTCTGTTCCCATTGATTTTTTTTTCACTTTTTTGCATTTCACTGAGCCTGAATACTGAAAATAGATTCGTTAGTTTTACTTCTGTTTAAACTCCCCTTCACTTCCAAGTCCTAATGCACTAGCAGAGTGTTCCAAGCACTGCAGAGGAATTTTTAAGTATCTGGCAAAAAATGTTTTCATTGAAATGTGAAGTTATAAAAAAAACTATCATGAAATGTCTGTTGAGGTTAGATTTGGTCCTGTCTTCTGTATGTGTTTGTTTTTAAAATATTATACGAGCCTAAATCAACCTAAATAGCCTCCTTTAATGTGTTCATAATACATCATTTGTTTTCTCTCTTCAATATATGGGTATCATGGTTTGCATTCTTTCTGAGCCCTATATTTCTAATATTAATTATAATAGGTGGATGAGGCCTTTTTTAAACAATTAACAAAACTATCCAAAGCCCAAGATTTGGTGGTGATGGGGGACTTCAACTATCCAGACATATGTTGGGAAACTAACACAGCGAGGCACAGGCTATCCAATAAGTTTCTGGACTGCATTGGAGACAACTTTCTGTTTCAGAAGGTTGAAAAAGCTACCAGAGGAGAAGCTGTTCTGGATTTGGTTTTAACAAATAGGGAGGAACTAGTTGAGAACTTGAAAGTGGAAGACAGTATAGGGGACAGTGATCATGAAATAATAGAGTTCATGATCTTAAGGAAAGGTAGAAGGGAGACCAGCACAATTGAGGTTATGGATTTCAGGAAGGCAGATTTTGATAAGCTCAGAGAACTTGTAGGTAAGGTCCCATGGGAAGCAAGACTGAAGGGAAAAACAACTGAGGAGAGTTGGAAGTATTTCAAAGGGACGTTGTTAAGGGCCCAAAAGCAAACAATTCCGCTGTGTAGGAAAGATAGAAAATATGGCAAAAGACCAGCTTGGCTTAACAAGGAGATCTTGCATGATCTCAAAATAAAAAAGGAGTCATATAAAAAATGGAAACTAGGACAACTAACAAAGGATGAATATAGGCAAGCAACACGGGAATGCAGGGGCAAGATTAGAAAGGCAAAGGCACAAAATGAGATCAAACTAGCTACAGGCATAAAGGGAAACAAGAAGACCTTTTATAAATACATTAAAAGCAAGAGGAAGACCAAGGACAGGGTAGGCCCACTGCTTAGTGAGGAGGGAGAAGCAGTAACAGGGAACTTGGAAATGGCGGAGATGCTCAATGACTTCTTTGTTTCGGTCTTCACCGAGAAGTCTGGAGGTGTGCCTAACGTAGTGAATACAAGCAGAGAGAGGGTAAGTTTAGAAGATAGGATACACAAAGAACAAGTTAAAAATCACTTAGGAAAGTTAGATGTCAGCAAGTCACCAGGTCCTGATGAAATGCATCCCAGGATACTCAAGGAGCTGATAGAGGAGGTATCTGAGCCTTTAGCTATGATCTTTGAAAAATCATGGCAGACAGGGGAGATTCCAGAAGACTGGAAAAGGGCAAATATTGTGCCCATCTATAAAAAGGGGAATAAGAACAACCCAGGAAATTATAGACCGGTCAGTTTAACGTCTGTCCCAGGGAAGATAATGGAGCAGGTAATTAAGGAAATCATATGCAAACACTTGGAAGGTAATAAAGTGATAGGGAATAGCCAGCATGGGTTTGTGAAGAACAAGTCATGCCAAACTAATCTGATAGCTTTCTTTGATAAGATAACGAGCCTTGTGGATAAGGGAGAAGCGGTGGATGTCATATACCTAGACTTTAGTAAGGCATTTGATACGGTCTCGCATGATATTCTTATTGATAAACTAGGCAAATATAACTTAGATAGGGCCACGATAAGGTGGGTGCATAATTGGCTGGATAACCGTAGTCAGAGAGTTGTTGTTAACGGTTCTAAATCCTGCTGGAAAGGGATAACAAGTGGAGTTCCTCAAGGGTCTGTTTTGGGACCCGTACTGTTCAATATCTTCATCAATGATGTAGATATTGGGATAGAGAGTACTCTTATTAAGTTTGCAGATGATACCAAACTGGGTGGGGTTGCGACTTCTTTGGAGGATAGGGACATAATTCAGAATGACCTTAGCAAGTTAGAGAAATGGTCGGAGGTAAACAGGATGAGGTTTAATAGAGAGAAATGCAAAGTGCTCCACTTAGGAAGGAACAATCAGTTCCATACATACAAGATGGGAAGCGACTGTCTAGGAAGGAGCATGGCGGAAAGGGATCTAGGGGTCATAGTGGACCACAAGTTGAATATGAGTCAACAGTGTGATGCTGTTGCAAAAAAAGCAAATATGATTCTAGGTTGTATTAACAGGTGTGTTGTAAGCAAAACTCGTGAAGTCATTCTGCCGCTCTACTCTGCGCTAGTTAGGCCTCAGCTGGAGTACTGTGTCCAGTTCTGGGCGCCACATTTCAAGAAAGATGTGGAGAAATTGGAAAGGGTACAGAGAAGAGCGACAAGAATGATTAAAGGTCTAGAGAAGCCTATGAAGCCAGGCTTCATGAACTGGGCTTGTTTAGTTTGGAAAAAAGAAGATTAAGGGGGGACATGATAGTGGTTTTCAAATATCTAAAAGGGTGTCACAAGGAGGAAGGAGAAAATTTGTTCCTCTTGGTTTCTGAGGACAGGACATGGAGTAATGGGCTTAAAGTGCAGCAGGGGAGGTTTAGATTGGACATTAGGAAAACATTCCTAACTGTCAGGGTGGTCAAATATTGGAATAAATTGCCAAGGGAGGTGGTGGAATCTCCCTCTCTGGAGATATTTAAGAACAGGTTAGATAGACATCTGTCAGGGATGGTGTAGACGGAGCTTGATCCTGCCTTGAGGGCGGGGGGCTGGACTCGATGACCTCTCGAGGTCCCTTCCAGTCCTATGATTCTATGATTCTATGATATTATTCTATATCAGAAAGGCCTACTAGACGTTGGGAGACTTCAAGTGTTAGTTTTCTTATGATCCAATGAAGTGTGATGTTATATTCACCTTCTGGTGAACTGCAGTTTTAGAAGTGCCTGTGGTTTGATAAAGTAGAATTTTCTTCTTTGTTAAGAAACAATTGTGGAAAATTCATCTCCTGTTTTCTCTAATGAGAGTAGAATGGATTTCCTGCCCATGCCGAGCTTGAAGGCAAAGCAAAGAATGCTGGGAGGAAATGACCATTATTTAGTGAAGCAGACTGTTGAATTGCTGATCTGAAAGGGGGAAAAAATTCACTCATTCCAGACGTAGTAGAGATATTTTTAGGTCTCAAGTCCTTTATAGTTGGAAGACAAAGTTATTGTGCTTGTAGGGTCATGTGATGCCTTTAGCTACTTATTGAGGGACCTGCAAAAATAGCTTTCAGACTGCAGCTCCTTCCTTCTCAGTGACCTGAATTCTAACAAACACCATGTAACAGAATAAGAGAGGAGAGTATTCCACTTTGTATACCGATCCGGTTTCAAAAGCAGAGTTAAACCTCCCAGAGGCTTGGAAAGCTGTAAGGACTTGGATGGAGAAGTAGCTTCACAGTGAAAGAACTGAGAGGAGAGTTGGATTTTTGTTTAAAACCGAGATCCTGCCATGGGTTGCATGCGGCTGGATAACTCTGCTCATGCGGAGCTCTGGTGCAGCCAGTGACAATTGCTGGAGCAGGACCTCATTTTTAAAATGGGTTATTGATGTTTTCAGATTTTAGTCATTCCTGTTTTAAAAAACCTGCACTATTTAAGCCAGTTCCTCAGCTGGACTCCCAGGGAGTTCTGCCAGCGATTAATATCAGCTGAGAGTCTGGACCTATCTTTCCAGTTAAAGCCTTTACATTCTTTAACTTTCAACCTCCGGCACTTCCTCTAACCCTCTTGCGAGACACATTTCAAATTCATGCATCATAAAACAGCAGAGCAGAATGAGTTTATCGTTTTAGTCTAAGGAGAACAGCTTTTTGGAGGATCCAACTGATAATACTCTGTTCGGTCACATATATATATTTGGTGTCGGGGCGGAAAGGGAGAAGGATGTATTCGTGATAACCGCAGCTCCCTTAAATTTGCGGGCAGGGTTCTAACTATGGGCTTGTCCATGCAAACAATGAGTATGTGTCAGGCTGGGGTATAGATCTGTCCGGAATGAGACTGCTGTGGGTCAGTTGTTCATGTGGACTCCCCTGCTGGGCACTAAGAAGTCCTTAATAGTCTTTGATCCACTCCAGTTTCAGTGCGACCTAGATCAAAATTCACCAAAGAGCTGTCAATGCGCATGAGCAAGGTCCACATGGACAATTAGTCTGTGGCAGGCTAAATTCACACCTCAGCTTGCCAAGAAATAAATGTTTGTGCAGACAAGCCCTTACATGTCATGTACCATGGGTCTGAACTAGAGATG